TGGACGAGTTTAAGAAAATTTCATAACCCAACTTATAAAATTTCATCTCCACGAGTAAAAAAAATCAAATCTCTCATCTATCGTAACAACTTTAAAGGTAAATAAATAAAAGTCTAATTACTACTATAAATTCATTATCTATATAGGTTTTTTAAAAATTTAAATTTCACCTATCTAATTACTAATATTTTAGATACTTTTAAATATTATTTGTATAAATTTTTTTATACATTTGCTCTCTCTTTATATATACATATATGGAGGTTAAATGAAGAATTTTTAGACATATTTTCCTTACGGGTAGTTTAAAAAAATATTGGTAACTTCAAACATTATTTGTGAATAATATAGAATATTTTAGATGCTTTTATAGATGTTATAAAATATTTTAAGTATTTTTAATATTTATATATCATACTTAAAAAGAATAATTTGCCAAAATAAAAACATTAAATACACATTGTAAATGTTAATAGGAACATTTTTCAGTGTTCGTCTTTGATTTTGTCAAAACAAATCTCATAAAATCGGTGAAGTCAAAATTTGTAGGTAAAGTCTATCTATACTAAAAAAAAGGTAGATTCAAAATTCTTTATTTAATTTCTTCTTTTCTTTATCTAATTCCTTATTATTATCTAATTGTATAGAAATTTGCTCTGATTTTGTTCAATCCTCTAATTGTATTTGTATTATATCCCATCAAATCGATTTAACAAAAAAATCTCATAACATCCGATAAGTAAAACAAAGTACGTAAAATCTTTACTAAATAAAAAAGTCTTTATTTATTATCTAATTTATTATCTAATTGTATGGAAATTTGTTCTGATTTTATAGTACGTACTAAATATTGTGCACCCGTGTTCAGAAGCTACTTAACAGGCAAGCTCTGTGGAAATAACTCATTTATTGCTTCTGTCCCGTGCATACGTTATGTATTTGTATTACACATACTAGAAAATTGTGCACCCCGTGCATCACACGAACTCTGTACTTGATGGGTCTGCTCTCAGATCTGGAACGGTTTGGTAGGAAAACGTCCGGATCT